CAACTCCGTTTGCTCTTCACCAGCATATCGTCTATGTAGACCTCCATGGTGTTGCCGATCTGCTTTTTGAACATCCGATTCATCAGTCTTTGGTATGTTGCCCCGGCGTTCTTCAGTCCAAACGGCATCACTTTGTAACAATAAACTCCCTTCGGAGTGATAAACGCCGTCTTTTCTTGATCCGGGGCATAGAGAGGGATCTGATGATATCCTGCTCGGGCATCCAGGAAGTCCATTCGTTCATATCCGGCTGTGGCATCTACCAGCTGGTCCACCTTTGGCAGGGGGTAGTCATCCTTGGGACATGCTTGTTTAGATCTGTAAATCTACGCAGACACGCCATTTCCCCCCTTTCTTCTTTGCGCATACCGTATTGGACAGCCATTCTGGGAACTGTATCTCTCGAATGGCATCGGCCTTCAGGAGTTTGTCGATTTCCTCGTTGACCGCGTTGGTGTGATGCGGGGCCATGCGTCGTGGCCTCTGCTTTACTGGCTTGTGCGACGGGTCAACATGCAGCCTGTGAGTGATTATCTCGGGGTCTACCCCGTCATTTCCATTTCGTTCCAGGCGAACACGTCTGTATTTCCCCTTAGGAACTCGATCATCTCCTCCTGTTCGGCTGTCGGCATCGAGGTCCCCACTAAGAAATACCTCTCTTCTTCTCCCTCTACCAAGGGCACCTTCCGGAGGTCTTCAACCGACCGTTCAGTTGGGTCTATCCGGGGGTCATCCATTCCTGGACGCCCGGACTGTAATTGCTATTTTTCCATAATCTCTTCCGGTGCTCGCCCCTTCTCCTGGCTGGACGCCCCGGCTCGGACGGCCGAATAAAAACAGTTCTTCGCGGACGCTTGGTCCCCCCGGATCTCCATGATACCCTCTGGCGTGGCGAATTTTAACTTCTGGTGGAAAGTGGAGTGCACCGCTCCCAACGCATGCAGCCATGTTCGCCCCATAATCACGTTGTAGGGAGAGTCCGTATCGATCACCACAAACTCGGTGTCGATGATAAAGGGACCAGTGGCAACTGGCAATGTGATTTTCCCCACGGGCAAGGCGAATGAGCCGTTGAACCCGATGAGGGGTGTCCTGACTTTGGTGAGGTCTTTGGGGCCAAGACCCATCCGTTTCAAAGTTTCGAAGTACATCACCTCCGAGGAGCTTCCTGAGTCTATCAAAATCCTCTTGACATCGAATTTCCCTATCCTCAGGGTCAAGACAAGGGCGTCGTTATGAGGAATCACCACGCCTGTCAAATCCGCGTCGGAGAACGTAATGCCAAGCTCACCCATCCTGGCCCTTTTACTTGATGGCCCCACATCACCCTCGGCTACCTTCCTTGTAAAAGCTACCCTCTTGAGGTCGGACTCGAGCTCCTTGGACGTGGGGCGCTCCAGGGGACATATATGAATGACGTCTATGATGTTTCCGGTTCCTCGGTCGGGGCAAGGGCTCGTCTCTCTTCTGGCCTGGGCTCTATGTACTCTTTCAAATGTCCGTCTCGGACCAAGCTTTCCAAGAACGATTTGAACACCCTACAGCTTTCGGTGCGATGCCCGAAATCCCGGTGATAGGAACACCTAACCTTTTGATCACGGGTGGAGGGGTCGCCCTGCATCCTGGGCGGCCATTTGAAGAACGGCTCGTGCTTGATTTTATGGAGCAACTTGAAGATGGGTTCCTTGAAAACAGTGTGAACTCCCCTGGACGAACCCCCTGGATGGGGTAGCAATCCCTTTCGGGGAATATCTTCGCGCTCCTTCTCCTTTCTCTTAGATTGGAGGGCTCGGCCTTTGTTGCTTCCCATCTCGTCCTCAACCCTCGAGTACTTGTTGATCCGGCCATCAGTTCCCCCATATCCGAGGGAGTCTTCTTGGTCAGGGATCGGTACAGGTCCGTGTCCCTCGCCAAGCCGAGCCGGAAAGATGCTGCTGCCATGACCTCCGAGCAGCCTTCTACCTCATTGACCTCTTCCCAGTATCGGATGGCGTACTGGCGAAGAGTCTCGGATTCCCTCCGTCTGAGGGTCAACAATGATCCAATGTCTTTGGGGCGCTTACTCCCCGTAATGAATCGAGCCAGGAACTGCCTAGTCAATTCCTTCCAGGACCCAATACTGTTGGGGGAAGCGTCTCGAACCATTTCATCGCAGAGTCCCCCAAGCTCATAGGGAACACTCGGCATAGAAACCGTTGGTCCGAATGATAGAGGGACATCATCTGCTTGTATTGCCTGATATGGGCTTCGGGGTCGGACCGCCCGTCATAGGTTTTGAACCGCGGCACGACGAACTTTCTTGAGACCTCCATCTCACTGATTTCCCTCGTAAAGGGTGTTTGTATGACTTCGTCCTCGGCCTCATCCTGGACAGTCTTACCCTTTCTCCTGGAGTCTAATCGGGCTCTGAGATCAACTTCTTCCCTGACGGGATGCCTTCTGAAGTCCCTGAGTTCATTGGTAAGCCCCTCATTTCCTGGGCGTCGTGTGGATTGGGTTGAGTCCTCCTCGGATTCATCTCCCTTCCTCCGTCTAGACAAACCTCGCCGGAGGTCGTCCAGGGCCAATGGCCTTGCTTTCCTGGAATGGTTGTCATGATGATGTTCGCCGGCTCTGGGTCGCTTTGGGGCCCTAGAGCTTTCTGCTTTGTGGTCTAGGTGGTTTCTTAGATCCTTCGTTTCCGCCTCCCGGGCGGGAAGTCCACGGGAAAGGAATGAATCCCTCGACCCTCCGCCTGAGGCGGCAAACTCGTCGAGCCGGCTAAGGACGTTTACATTGTCCTTCTCCAGCTGACGTAATCTATCGCCAAATTTTTCTTCAATCACCTCCGCCAGCTGACGAGCCAAGGGGGCTGATCCCCCTGACCTGATCCCCATACTGGTTTGAGGGGTAACCCCTCTTGACCGAGTAGAGGCACTTTTATTCGTATTGGTGTGATCCCTCCCTCCGTGATGACAGGGAGCTTGTAACTCGAGACTCCTTTGGTGGGGTCCTTTCCCTTTCTGTCGAGTGTTCACCATGGTCACTGTTCTTTATAGAGAAAAAACTAGGAAAACTAGTCGTTTCCCACAGACGGCGCCAGATTGTGCGTGCAAGATCCTGCACAATATAAAAAACGAGAACAGATCTCTCCCTTGGTGAACTCGAGTGAGCCGGTTGAGTGACCAAACACGCTGCTTGGACAGCCTGCAAGGTACGGTGGTAACCTGGAACGGCAACGGGAGACCCTGGGAAAGGAAGAACGATCCTGTAAGGCTGAAAGAGGTTCCTGGAACAAAGAAGAACAAGTTAGAAGGGCGCCGGAGTTTTTCCGGCGTATCCCCTCCGACGATCTAGTCAGTTTTGAGAGAGAGAGAGAGGAGAGAAAAACTGAGTGTGTGTATTGTAGTAGAGAGTTTGTTGTTGCATACCCGCTTTGCCTTTTGCAAGGAGTATTTATACCTTAAAAGCTCATGATTGCTGTCAGTGTCGTCAGTAGGTGATCATTAGGCTCAGGTAGCGTGTGCATTGATTCTGATGAGGAATGTCTTCTCTAATTAACTGCTCGGGGTCCCGAGCAATCAATGCTGGATCGTCGGGATGCCGACGGTACAATGTGCTCCTCTCGGGGAGGATGCAATAAATGCTCTGTAATAGGAGCATTTATTGCCTTTCATTTCCGAGCCTTACCGCATTGAATGCGGTCTCATCAAGGGAATGGTGCAATTAATTGTTTGCTTTCCCAAGTCGCGTGTCAGCAACGGCATGCGGTTTGTCTGTCTTGATGTGATATCATATGCCACGCGTCCATCCCCTATTGGCTGTGACCTCTGTATTCCAGTACGTTCTGACATTACTTGTGTAAGACGAGGTCATGATGAATAGCCTAGACTAGCCTAGGCTAATGACCTGTACGTCAATAGCTTATCCTGGAGTAGAGGAAGCGTCCAGGATGGGGTACCTCTCGGCACCGAGGAAAGGCTCATCTCGGGGACCGAGGGAGGTATGCCGACCGAGGTACATATCAGACCGAGGCCACGTGTCGGTTGTAAAATATACTGAATGTATGATCCTATATGACGAGTACCTCGGGGGCGAGGACCTGGTGCGCCGATGGTGCTTGATCTTAGCAAGTGTTTTAGTAAAACCGAGACACGTGTCTTCATCATAAGGTTATTTCAGAAAAGTCTCATCAGTAACGTTCTTATTTGTACAGCCTTGAACCTCCCATCTGCGCTTTTCCTAGTGCCCTCCCCTGTGCTGGGTGGTTTATTGGTGATGGTCGTTATCTACTGATTTCTACTTTGCATCAATTGCTCATTTGGGGGGATTCATTGGTCCCTGCTCTCTGTTCTTATCTATGGGCTCTTTCTAGTCTTACCGCTGCTTTGATTTCCTACTGTGATTTTCGGGGTGGGTTATTGTCACATATATGCATTTTCTTCCTTGCTGATACTGGTTATAGTTGCTGGGTTCACCTTTGCTTTATGGATTACTCTATTGGTGGATGTGAGATTCACTACTTCTGCTGCTTGTTTCTTATGCTACTGATGGTTTCTTTATTTTGGGTGGCTTGTATCTGCTCATACTTTCATGATATGGTTCTTTCATTCACCGAGGTCCATTCATCATCATCATCGTTGTCTACAATTGTAGCTGCTCTGGTTCTCTATGGCTACCTCTGTTCGCACTGTGGTCTATGGCTCTACTGGCTTTGCTTCGGCTGGATTATCTCTTGCTCTTGTGGTGGTCCTTCTAGGCAGAGTTGTTGTATCAGCCTCAGCATTCTCTTGGGTAGGCTTGGGATGATCCTCCCTGGGCTATCTTTCTCTTCTCTCTTGGTGACTTTTGGCCTTCTCTGATCGCCCTCCCTCACGTCTATCTCCTCCCTCTTGCGCTTCATGGTGGTTTGCTGGCTGGGCCTATATGCGTTTGCGTTGCTTTTTAGAGGGAGGTGTCTCTCATCTTCCTGGTTCTATGCATCTGCTGCATGAATGGAGGTCTGGTTCATGCACTTTTTACTACACTGTCTTCTTGGGTTTGATCCCGGTGACTGCTGCTTGCCCTTCAGCTCTATGATGGCTCATGTTGTTCTGTTGATAGTGCATTGGTGTTGTTGCTGTTTGAGCCTTTCCTATTTCCTCTCCCATGTGGTTGATGTTTTGGTTGTCCTTCTGCTCTGAAGCTCGCTGGTTACAAACAGCCCCCTGTTTTGTTTTGTTTATAACATTACTTTGTTTGCAATTCTGTGGGTGATACCCTTTTCACTTTATGGGCATCTCCTACAGAATTGTGTTTTCCTTGTTTCTATTTTGGGTTATGTGCCCCTACGTCTCCTTGTACTTGTGGGTGATTACCCTGTACATTTGGTTTATTGAATACATTTTACTTTCCGAAAAAACTTGTCAAGCAATGAATACGGTTTTTCTGTGTGAATTGGCTTGTGTTAGACTTTTTGTTCTAAATTATTTGTCATTTAATCAAAATTTCAGTGTTCATCTATGTGTGTGTGTGTGTGTTGATATGGATACTTATGTATATAATCACTACTATTTTTCGTTGTATTCATTTTCCCTCCCCCCTCACCACCTCTATTAGACAGTTCTTCGGAATACATGTTTATTAGATTACTAAGCACTTTCTGCTCTGTGAATTCATCAGTTTAATGCATATTCATTTCTCAATTTTAGTTACAAATTTGTCTTCAAGTCATGGAAATCTTGATGTTTAATACAGTTAGTTCTGATGGTCTGTGAATCATCTGTTGAAATCCTATGACTGCTATACTGGTGATGTTTACTCTATTTTCATTAGTGACCATTGTAGTCACCATTAGTTTGATGACCTTGTTTTATTCAGTACATTTTGATTTCTCATGAAAATGGTCTATTGCTACTATTTCGGATCCTTTGAATTTGACCAAAACACATGAGTGGAAGTACTTTCAGAGCTTGACTAGGATTTACTATGGCCTTTTAGTTCCTTATTTGACATTCTATGAGGGGTAGCACTAAGGAAAAAATTGGTACCGTACTAAAATTATTACTTTTGAAGGGAAAGTTACAAATGATTGAGATAATTTATGATCAATCATTAATAACTTGAATCAGTTATTACTCCTCCTGTGCGAGTTTTAATGAAAGATTGTAACTCACATGATCGATAACATTTTGGAATCAATTATATATTTAGAAGTTATAACTTACAACTCAGAAGTTTAACTTGAACTTTAAACAATTATAAATTTTGATACAATACCGCGTTCGGTACTATAGTTTTCCCCTTCTATGAGATGGAAATATTTGATATGTCTGTTCAATCAGTGAACCTAAAATTTTTGCAGGTGTGATTTTCAATGGAATTTGCCACTTGTTGAATGAAAATCTTAGCTCAACTCCAAAAAAAAATGCAGAAAAAAGAAGAAAGGAAGAATGGAAACCTTAACATTGAGTGCTTTGCTGTTAAAGAACTGTTTGCCTACTGTTGTTTCACACTTCTAAAGGAATCTGCTATTCTTTTAAACGTCTTGTTCTATGGTCTTGGTCATCTTTATATACTGTCACATTTATTGATGTACGTACAAAATGCAGGTGAAAATGGGGAAATCACCACAAACTATTTACCTTGAAGTGTTGTCCGAAGGAGAATCACAAGTTCACAAGATAATGGCTGTCCTTGGATTCAGTGATGATAAAGCCAAAGAACTTAAGCTTTAATTTATGAACCTCGTTTTGTTGATGACTAATATAAGGAGGAAATATGGGAGTTAGGGATCGATATGGTTATTTGCTTCAAATTGCTTCAATTGAGAGAAAGCATGTTAGTAAGAATGCAAGTGGCACTTCATTGTAAGTTATGTTTGTGTTTAGATGATCACACAATACTACATAAAAAACTACAAAGATTGTACCATTGAATAATTCATTTTGAATGTGTTGGTTTTTGTACTTGAACATTGAATTGAGTGAAAACCTTTGTTATTGGCTGAATAAACCAATATTTCGATTAGCCTATTATTAGCAAGCATAAGTGAAAGTTTATCCATTAGAAGACCCAATGGATAACGATCGAGTTATAGAGTCTCCATGCGTATTTTTTCATAATGTGTTATAGTGGATTATTATATGATAAGAATAAAACTAAAAAAAATATAACGCATCATAGTTCACATGTAATGCATGTGTACACTAACTAGTATATAATATGAGTCAAAGAAAGGTTTTTAAATAAAGAACAGATAGATCTTGGGAGTAAAACATGTATTTTATTCAAGAAATGAATCATGTGTTCTAACAAACGTAAAAGTATTGTAGATCTATTATTTAAATTGTAATAAGGATGACAAAGATATAATTATAGCCCTAATCATCTATGAATGAATTTGATAAAGAACCCCTTTCTTGATTTACGAATAGATGATCCTAACATGGTTTGATGCCATTCCTATATGTTAATCAGTCAAGATCTCACTCGTTTTCTATTCTCCTGACTCACTTTAGCCTTTTAGTGTTGAAAAATAGCTTTAAACTAACCTAAACCATCTCTAGGGTTTATATAGGGTGAAAAAACAATTCAGGAGGCGTGACTTGATCCTATAGGATTGTCCACGCACGTTCAAATGAAGAGTTTGATGTTCAAACGGGCTTTGCTCCTAGTATTCATGTTTTTTGCTAAAAAATTCATCAGAAAGAGCATTTGAACGAATCCATGTGCGTTCGAATAGCTCTATTTTTTGCATGAACTTCCAAGGTAGTTTTGGCTTAATTAGAAGTGATTCACAAAATTTTTATGAAATATATTTTTATAACTCTTGTTTTTTTTTTTGGGGGGGGAGGGGGGAAGGGAGGGGGGAGTTAAACCCTTGATCTCAAAAAAGCAAAGTCTTGACAAGGTAAGGAGTACCATTGGACCAAAGGCCCGTTGATAACTCTTGAAGTCTAGTTTCTAATGCCCAACAATTAGATCAATTGGAGTTTGGAGTAAAGAGTTATGGGCAAATTACTGAGATAGTGTTAAATTCTTTCCTACTCTAATTCTTTCCAAAATACATTTTAACACCAAAATGCTCCTAAACTTCTGGGGTTGTTTGATAAGAGGTATGAGGAGGCTTGACAAGATGGGTTTGGGAAAAAATAGTCCAAAGGACCTCCAAACCTCATGTTTGGATTGAAAATTCAATCCTAGGTTCCCAAAGCCAGCTTGTAGCAGGCCCGAATATCAGACACGTGATCATGAGTTTTGTCAAACCTAGGAGAAGGGTGAGTTTGGAAAATGAGTTAAGGGGTTAAGGATGCAAAGAAAATTGTACCCCTAACATGGGTATAGATTAGATTGATCAGGTAAAAATAGTCATTTACAGGATAAATAGTTGTTAATAATTATG